GCTCGTTATAAGGCTAGATTAGTGGCAAAGGGGTTTTTGCAACAAGAAGGAATTGATTTTTATGAGACTTTTGGTTCGGTGGCTAAACAACCCACAATCAGGATATTCCTAAGTATTGCTCTTCAATTTTAATGGCCTATCAAACAACTTAATATTTCCAATGCCTTTCTTCATGGCATCCTTCAAGAAGAGGTCTATATGCTACAGCCTCCAGTGCAATCTTCTACTCATGTTTGCAAACTCAAGACGACTTTATATGGTCTCAAGGAAGCCCAGTCTTCTTGCTCTCTCAGGGGTTCACAAACAGTCTGTCTAATATTTCTCTCTTTATCAGGAAATCTTCTACTAGTCTTACCATTCTCTTGGTGTATGTTGATGATATCTTACTAACTGGTAATGATTTTGCTCTAGTTGCTTAACTTCTTCAGCAAATGCACAAGGCTTTTTCAATGAAAGAGCTTGGTTCTCTGTCCTATTTTCTAGGAATTTTGAGTTCATATTCATGAGCATGGTTATTTCTTATCTCAAGGCAAGTATGCAGCTGCCTTATTGCACAAATCAAGTTTGAAAGACTGCAAACCATGCTTTTCTCTTATGGTTGTTAACACAGTGCCTTCTGCAACTGATTCTCTGCCATTTTCTCAGCCTTCTCTGCACAGAAGTTTAGTAGGTGGTTTGCAATATTTGACTATCACTAGACCTGATCTCTCCTTTGTTGTCAATCAGGCTTGTCAGTTTATGCATCTTCTCGCCAATGCTCATTTTCAAGCAGTTAAGAGGCTTCTTAGGTATGTTAAGGGGATTTTGTCTCATGGTCTCTTTTTCATACCTAGTCCTTTTTCTCTTTCTGCTTTTTTAGACTCTAATTAGGCCAGTGACAGTTTTGATCGAAGATCTACCTTTGGCTATTGTGTTTATCTTGGCTCAAAATTCATTTCCTGGTCAGCTAAAAAGCAAGCTACTATCTCTCGGTCATCCACTGAAGCTGAATATCGAGTCTTAGCTCATGCCACAGCTGAGCTCACTTGGATTCAACAGTTTCTCAAGGATTTATGTGTTTCCTCTTCTGCTATTCCTGTTATTTGGTGTGATAGTTTGTCTGCTATGGCTTTAGCGTCCAACCCTGTGTTTCATTCTCTATCCAAGCACATCGAGATCGATTGCCATTTTATTTGAGAAAGAGTGGTTGCCAAATAGATTGAGCTTAAATATATTCCTACAATTGATCAGATGACTGATATTTTCACTAAACCTCTTTCCCCTTCTCAGTTTCATTATCTTCGTGACAAGCTGTTAGTGCTTCCTTGCTTTATCAGCTTGAGGAGGGATGAAGAAGTTATCTCATCATCATCATCTCACAGCAAACTTGAGCTGCAGCCTCCATCACCATCTCATAGCAAACCTGAGCAGCAACCTTTTTCTTTTATATATAGCTTGTTCATCACAGGCCTATAATAATAGTGTTAAGATGGCATGCTACAATGGAATCAGTTGTGGTGGTTAGATAGTTTGTTATATAGTTGGTTAGACTAAGCTACAGTTTTGATTAATGAAAAAGAGTTATGAGATTCTCAATAGATTGTAATTATAAATGATTTTATCTGCTGATATAATTTGTATAAAACTTGTTAGACTGTCAGTGTAAATGATTTTATCCGTTGATATAATTTGTATAATCAAATCAATATAATTGATACTATTACATAATGTATGAAACAGTTAGAGGTTATGTCACAAATACTTATAAAATAAAGGATAAATTTAAGATTTTTTTAAAATTTAGAGGACCATTCTATATACATAATAAAAATCTCCATAAATAATAGGGGTATCAATACAATTTTTGGTTTTTTTGAGAAGTATGTTAAAAGCTAACTTTTTGATTTTTTTGACTTTTTAAAAAAAAAAAATTAAAAAAAAAAAAAAAAATAGAGTAGTGATGTGACCTAAAAGAGATTAAAAGTTAAAAAGTAACTTTTAATCTCTTTGCCAGAACAAGCCAAACTTAGAAAGGCCATAGCCACCCTTGGCCCTTCCCTCTCTTCGTCTCTTCGTCATTAGTAGTGGGATTCATTACGCTAATATTGTGTTGACAAGTAAGTAACAAATGCAACATATAATTATAAAAATGTTATAAGTGTAGCATTATTAATAAAAAAGAAAATCGTTTGAAAAGTGAGTTAAAAATGAAAGTGTGTATCCTCACTAATACCATGCACTTAACCTTGCTTGAAGGTGGGGCCTAGAGGTCAATTGTTTTAAAGTAATTCGTTGATGCAACCTTTAACATATATATTATTTTTCTACACAAACAATTATATTATACTCTTTTATTCTTTTAGTATAGTAAAATTCGTGTGAGCTGTCAACGTAAGTAATTTTGTCGAATCTTGTAATTTGTGGGCCGTGCCTTTCTTATATGTAATTAGTTCTTCTTACTATTGAGTGTGTGTAAATTTACTAGTCACATCCAGAATGAATACAATCGCACATTTTTTTTTTCTTTATTTTTTGACTAAATTTTAATTTATTTATTGATTCTTTTTACTATGTTTTATGAGTCATATTCATTAGCCCAATTTTTATTTTTTTTTCCTGATTCCATAACATTCACACTCGTGTACTCTCACAAGTCACAATAAAAAAAACAAATAACATCATTTTTTTTCACCGTAATAGCCATGCACCCAACTTTATATTTATGTAATCTTTGAAGAAGTACCAGCTTTTTAAAATATTGGGAACCATACTACAAGAGAGCCAAAGAGAGCCCTTGGTGAGCTGGTCTTCTCTTCCTATTAAAGCATTGGTTTGCCTCTTTTTGTTTGAAGAAATTACAAAATAATGGAAAGACTAAAAATTATCTGTTAAAAGGTGGGATGTAATTTTTGCTGTAGTTTCTTTGTAAAGAAAAAGTTGCACCCTTGATATATATTTGTTTCCCATCCTAGTGTTTACGTTCCTATCAGTTTGACATTGGGCCGTTAGGCACTTCTTCTCCATTTAATGAATAAAACTCCTCTTCTTTCTTTGGCCAAAAAAAAAAAAGTAATAATAATAATATAAAAAAACAAAAATGAAATATGGATGAGAAGTTGAGATGCAAAAATATCATATATGACATTGTCATGTCAGTGTCATCGACATATATTTTTTAGTCCAATATCCCCTTCCTTTATCCAGCAAAACAAACACAGTCTTAGACAATCATATAAAAAAATATCTTCTCCACCTTCGTCCTTTTCCTCATCTCCCTCTTAAATTATTTATGGATCTAGTTGTCTTGAATATATATATATATATATATACTTAAATGAAGATCGTGATGCCTAGTTCTAAATAACATTTAATCAAAAATATAAATAAATAAATACTAGAGACATACCATGTGATTTTGAAGATAGATTACATTTGTCAAACAGATGTGATGTGGTTAAGTGATTATTAGTGTTTAATCAATATAATTTTTTGATATGAATAATGTACTTAATGAGCCTTACAAGATTAATGGTTTAGATCGTTGAGGCGGGCTCTATGTGATCCCACAATAGGCCAAACTACACTTCTTTAGTCTGATTGTGGATTGAAAGATAAATTGCACTCTCAATATTTGATTTAGGTATATTATTATCATTAATAACTAACTAATGTATGTGTGTCACATCAAATACTAGACGAAATGTGATAAAAAAAATTGTCATCATTGTAGCATTACTTTAATATTAAATTGCAAATTATCAATTTATTTAAAATTTTAAGTTGTTACATAAAGATAACTTTATATATAAGAATGTGATTTTGAGACATAATTTAAGCTAATGATGTAATAATAACATTTACAATTATGAATCACAATGATTGCCGTTTTGTCTTCCAATGAATAAGTATAAATGCAACACTTTTTATATACAAATTCTGTTTGTATATCATTGTACTCATAAATATTCTCAACACATCTCTTTATTTGTGGATGGACTCTCCTTTCTAAGTAAGTCATTTATTTTTTTTATTTATCAATAAAATATTTTTAAAATAACAATCTAATAAATTATACACTAAATACTAATTGTATTATAGCCCCAAAATTGTATGAAATAATTGAGAGATAACTATTAAGAAATGATTGACATACATTTATTAATTTTTCTTAGCAATTTTTTAATAATGCTTGTCTAAGTAATTATCATTTTCAAAAAGGTCATTTTTTGCTACACTTAATTCGCCCCTAACTAAGCAAAATTCATTACTTTGTGCCTGTTGATAAAAAAATGAATTTGGTAAAAGTCAGTAATTATGTAGTATATTTCTTTGTACAATAGTATTTTTTATACCACGTATGACATTAGTATAGTATTGATTTTTCTACTGAATTATATTAAATTAACTTCAAAGTTTTTACAATGCACATCAACTATCAACTATCAACTATCAACTCACTTGTTCACGCAAACTACTAGAAAATGGTGATATCATTTAGAGATGGCAATCGGAATCCGGCCTGACGTGGACCTGATCCCCCAACCCCAAATTGAGTGGTTATTCCTTGAAAAATACCCCCGACGGGCCGGGGATGGTATTAAAAATGAAATCACCGATGATATTAGGGCCGGGGATGGGGATTCATGTTTCAGCCCCGGACCCGGCCTGGCCTCGGCCCTGATCCTCGGCCCGATTGCCCCCCGAATTGAATTTACTATTTTGTTCCTGGTTATATATAACATATGTGTGTGTGTGTGTAAGTTTTGGCTGACCACTCACACACAACACACACACAGCCGCTCTCTCTCTCTGCTCTTGCTCTCTATCTCTAGCCGGAGATGGTATTAAAAATGAAATCCCCGATGATATTCGGGCCGGGGATGGGGATTCATGTTTCAGCCCCGGACCCGGCCCGGCCCGGCCTCGGCCTTGATCCTCGGCCCGGTTGCCCCCCGAATTGAATTTACTATTTTGCTCCTGGTTATATATAACATGTGTGTGTGTGTGTAGGGTTTTGGTTGACCACTCACACACAACACACACACAGCCGCTCTCTCTCTCTGCTCTTGCTCTCTATCTCTAGGGTTTCGACTTCCTCTCTCTCTCTCTTTCACATGACGTCGCCGATTCTCCCTCACCGCCGATCCTCTTTCTCACCCCCGCTAGTGCCTTACTGTGGATCATCCTTCCTCACCGCCGCTGTTGGTTTGAACTTAGAGTTTCGCCTCCTTCTCTCTCTCTCACGCACGACGGCCGGTCGCCCCTCACCGCCACTCCTCCCTCGCCGGCGATCCTCCCTCACCGCCGATTTTAAAGGGTATATGCATATATATATATATATATATATCTGTAAGTGTATGATCTGTGAACTCCAGTGTTTTTTTTTTCTGAATTTATTTATTTTAGTCACTGAGTTCTTGATCTGTGAGTGTATGATCTGTGAACTCAAGTGTTTTTTTTCTTCTAAATTTATTTATTTTAGTTACTGAGTTCTTGATCTGTGAGACTTTTTCTTCTAAATCAATCCCTTACTGAGTTCTTGATCTGTGTTTCTAAATTTATATATATATATATATATGATATGGTTTCTATTATTAAAATATGTAATCTCAGTTTATGTAATGGATTTCAAAGTTATGGGACTTGATAATAAAGAAACACAACTAGGATTTGTTATGTAATGTAATCTCAGTTCAAAATTTATTGCAAATAAAAGAACATATCTGTCTGTTTGTTTTAGCTTAGTTATTAATTGGGAGGAGAAGGGGGAAAAGCTGTAATCTCAACTATTTTCTTTACATCCTGTCAGGGATTGATTTGATTCATTCAGAGAACTCTTTCTTATTGCTTATCATTTTATATTCAGGTCATATCGATGAGGAAAGGTAGGGAAGCTGGTTTATTTACTTCATTTGTCTTCTTATGAGACATTTCTATCAGCATGGCACTAAGCATATGTATTGGTTTGTGTATATCTGCAGTGGGTTAACTTTGAAAAAACTTGATAAAAACTTAGAAAGAACTCTTCTGCACTGGTGTCGCAAGGTGTGCCTTCTCTCTCTCTGCACTCATATCCCACATTGGGTTCATAACATTATTTTCGTATGTTCTTTTGCTTTATTGTATTAGCAACTGTTTTAGAACTATGAAATGATGTGCTATATTGAAGTTATAACATTATCTTCACGTCCAAGTGATGATTGGCATGTTAGCATAAATTTCATGGTAATTCACAAGAACATATCTGTCTGATAATGATGATGATGAGATCGACTCGGATGTGTCATGTGCCACTTTTGTGTTAATTGTCATCTTTTTTTTTTTAATTGATTACATTTTTTATTAGTATTGATTAATTGTTAACATTTTTTAATTGATTATATATTCATTATCAGTATTGATTATTTATTTTTTTTCTTTTTGTTATTTAACAGGAATTCAAGTTGAAAGAGATGATGAAAATTGTGATGTGGTTGTATGAGTATTTGGACAAACGATCTTGGTTTTTTATCTCTTTTTTTTTTCATGATGGATTTGGTTTGATATGTTGTAATGGATTTGTTTTTTTTTTTTTTAATTTTATTTTTTGAGTAGCCTATCTCTTGCGGGCTGTGCTTGGGAGTAATTATTCTTTGTGCTTGTGATGTGGTTGTTGAATTTTCTTTTGTGTGGGCTGTGCATGGGACTATTTTGTTGTTTACAAATGCTATGTGAACAGATGTTAAACAGCCCCAATATTATTTTGTTGTTTGCAGATTTTTTGAACAGTCCCAATATATTGCACAACCCCAATATTATTCAACAGGATATATTGAACAATCCCTATATTATGTTGTTTACAAACTTTTTATTTTGAAAACATGTTGACAGATTTTTTAATAGAATGTTAACAGATTTATTATTTTGAAAACATGTTGGACAGATTTATTTTGAAAACATACTGGACAGGTTTATTTTGAAAACGTGCTGACATTTTGAGCAGTCCCAATATTATGTTTGAATAGAATGCTTACAGATTTTGTAATTTGAAAAAATGTTGACAAATTGAATAGGATTTTTCAGATTAAAAAAAAAAAAAAAAAAAAAAACTGAAATGTGACAATAATCTGGGGATTTTTTGGGGTTGAGGATCCCCGATCCCCAATCGGGGGTGGAGGCGGGGGCAAGGGCGAGGCCGGGCAATGGGTCCCCGTCGGGGATCAGGGGCGGGAACGGGGAAATTGTCACTTTTAGGGATCGGGGACGGGGAGTGTAGTCCCCGGCCCCGCCCCGTTGCCATCTCTAATATCATTAGCTAAAGAAGGACCGAGGTAGTTTCATAGGAATCCAGTTAATAAGCCTGCAAAAATTTTAATTTTTGCCCACAGACTTTTTAATGCCGTCTCAAAAAAAATTTAGTGACAATAAATGGAGTCATAGCAGAGGGCGTTGTTAAAACATTTTAGCAAAGGCATGATACCGTCGCCTTTTTTTTGCGACAGCAAATGTTGCCTTTTGCAACGGCATTTTACTATCGCCTATAATATATAAAAAATTGAGATATTTTGCGACGACAAGGTTGTACCATCGCTAAAAGTTTTATTTGAGACGGAAAAAAAATGTTGTTGCGAAATGTTTTTTGTTGCGACGGCATGACCTTTGTCACTAATTTCTTTTTGCGACAACATTGTCTATTTCGCCAAAAAAAATACATTTTAGTTCTAATGTTTTTTGCGACGGTGTGGTGCCGTTGCTAAAAAAAAATTTATTATTAAAAATATTAAAATTACTTGTATTAAATGAAAAAAATTGAAAAAGAAACCAATAATTGCGTAATAATATAAAAATTCCGATATAGAAATAACAATTTCTCCATAATAAAAATATTCTTGCATTCATAACTACACATCAGCAAAATTACCCCACTACATAATGTTTCATAACACATATAATGTTTAAATACATAATGTTGTTCACAATTCAAAATAACGTAAACAAAAACAAACAAAAAAAAGTTTTCCTCATCGTTCTCCATAAGTTAAAAAAACAAAAGTTAGTCGCATTCTTCACGGGCATGCATTCCACAAAAAGCAAACTCCTACTCGGAAAATATCTGAAAACAAAAAATAAAAATAATTAATGACAATATAATTATGTGTTAATATGTTAATTACAAAAAAAAACAAAAAGTTAACTACTATACAATTACAAAGATAATTAAGTAAATAATTTTGCCTAGACCGAAATTCGGCTCTAACTTCCAAACTGGGAATCCGATTCGAGTCCCGTCTTCTCCCACAAGTCTCTTGTGCCAAGGCGGTCATGTGTGCCAAGTTTCGTGCTAATCCGATGCCGTTTCGTGATTTTGGGGCGTCAACACCTCAAATTTTAAGTTTCTTAAGGAACTAGTTTGCCTAAACCGAAATCTAGCTCTAACTCCCAAATCGGAAACCCGATTCGAGTGTTGTCTTCTCCCACAAGTCTCTCGTGCCTAGGCAGTCGTGTCTGCCAAGTTTCGTGGTAATCCAATATCGTTTGGTGATTTTGGGGCGCCAACATCTCGAATTCTAAGTTTCTTGAATGCAGCGACGTCTTAATTAAGATCAAGAGACGTTACAATCTCCAATGTAATTATGAATCTTAAACTTTAAATCCTTGAACTATTTCATATAGCATATATAATAAAATCTAGTTGAGACTCGCCTTCATGTATTGACATGGGTCTTTTCTCCTTATGAACAACTTCATAACATTTTTTCTGGATTCATAAAAATTATAACAGCAACACAATGTGTCAAGTGTTTCCAAAACATCTCTTATGGGTTTCAAGAATCCATCCCTAGATGTTTGCCAATAACATTTGGGGTAAAAAATCCTAAATTACATTTGTTGTTTGGAAAAAGAGTTTTGGGTAACTTTGGTGCAGAGTACAGAAACAACAACATGGATAGTGAATACAAGCACATATAAGATAACTAAAGCATCACAGTTAGAAATAGGTTTACCTCTATATTAAGTGATGGGTACTTCTTTTTGAGTGTGTGTACTTGAAAACTACATTTATGGACTGTGGGAATGAGAAAGATGGAATAACAACATCAATATAAATAAAGATGGTTTACGCACCTTATCCATCATTTCTGACATGAACTTCTGTCCACCAAATCTAGGTTCCACAGTCATCACAATAACCATTTCCACAGGATTTTCACCATCAAGCTGTGGACTAGGAAAGAGAAAATAAGTGCTAAATGCAAGGTATCAAACAATCTTTATTTTAATTACGGTGTAACTTTGCTCCATTAGAGAAGCATGCATTTTGTTTCTACTTTCCAACACATGTGTCAAATAATCTTTAGTTTAAAGACTTTAGTTTAACTTTACTTCATTAAAGGGAAAATGCCAGGTAAATAGCAAAAATTGAGAACTTAAAAGAACAATAAATAGGGCAAATGTTTACTAGTGAATACACATCTTTAATAAGAGTTCTAGGCTTTAATGCCACACCAGGCCTTATGTCCTTTTTAATCTGCTAGACAAGTTCTTTCCAGTTGTCGGTAAAAGGTAACCATGTGACCATTCCATTACCAAAATATTGAAAAACAAAAGTAGAAAATAAAACTAATTAGGCAGTGTCAAAATGGAAAATATTGCGCAGTTTACAAATCAATAAAGTTAACATTTGTTTCAACAAATAAATATGTGTCAAAAAGCTAATACCAAAGGAAAAGCATAAGTACAATAACACCGTACACATAACTTATGCTAACTTGGCACTCAAGTTGCAAACAAGATCATCGTGAGCAACTTGCATAAGAGCCAAACAAATTAGGGTTTTCAAATTGGGGTTTTCACATAAAAATACATGCCAGCAAACCCCAAATCAAATCCAAAAATTCAATCCCAAAATCAAACCCAAAAATTCAATCCCAAATCAGTCCCCATATCAAGCATCATTGTGATACATTCAAGCCCCATGGTGTAGACACCCCATTTTTGACCGACCTTAAGACTCTGACGTCATTGTTTGTGCACACGATAATTGCGCATGTTTGTGCTTGTTTCGAGCGCCCGAAGTTCTCGGCTAAGTGCCTTATCTTTGAGCCTCATAACACTTTGTGTTTTGGCCTTGGTTTTTGGGCCAAACCTTGTTGCCTCTTGCTTGAGGGAGAGGAAGGGCCGCCGGCCACTTGTGGCACTTGTCGGCCACTTTTCTCTCTTGTAGGCCATTTGGAGTGGTCGGCCGGCTAAGGGAGGTGGCCGGCTGGCCACCTTAACTGGCTAGTGGCCAATCTTTCTCCTTTTTAGATATTTTCAGATATTTTGAGCCAGCTGTGGCTCACTGAACTCATCCTCCATACACGTGTATGGTGGGATGTAAACAACCTTTAAGCTTGTCAAGCAAGCTTTTGCTTGCATTGCCTATATAAGGGGAGGTCCCTCCCTCTATTTGAGGATTCAGATTTTTCAGAGCTAAAATCTCTCTCTCTCTCTCTCTAGAATTCTCGCCCACTCTCTATATTGTGCTATATTGAGCCTTAAAGTGTGTTTTCTTCATACATTTGCACTAAGCCACCTAGTCAAACACCTTCACTTTGGGGTTGAGGTCCTTTGAAGCTTGATTTGAGGTCTTAGAATTGGTTTTGGCTCAGAATTGTTGCCATCTTGCTGCTGTCTTCAAGGGTAAGCTTCTTCCCATTTTAAGCTTGTTTTTTGTATACTAGTTTAGGCCACCTTTGCATGCTTGTTTTGGCCTAGTTGTCAACTATAAAAAAACTCTATTTTTAAGTTTTAAAGATGGTTGTTTGAACCCTGTGGGAGTTGGGGGTGTTTCACCCCCTTGTATGCCTTATTTTCTAAGTTTTTGGGCCATCCTTTAAAGATTTTGGAACTATCTCTTTTTGGCCTTTTAACCACTGAATTCCAGAGGAATTTCAGTGGTGGAAATGTGGTTTTGAGGTCCCAAATAGGAGGGAGTGGTCCCCTCTCATCTTGTCATGCTTGCTTGTGTTGATGGCCCACCTAATGAGCATGTGTTTGTACTTCTTTGTGGCTTGGTTCAAGCATATTTTTGTGACTTTTTAGACTTACCATAACTCTATTTTTGGCTTGTTTGATCATTGGTTGCTCACATCTTACACCTCTAGTGCAATCTTGCTTGTTAACATAGTATGCTTTATGAGTTAGTCCATTGTTCTAGCATGTTTTAGCTCATTCTCAGCATGTTTTTACTCATGTTTTTCCATGCTCTAACTCTGTTTTGAGTGGTCTTGGCCCTTTGAGGCTTGCTTTGTATAGCTATAGTGTAAAGGCCTTTGACTAGCTTTGAGTTTCAAAGTCCTTAGCATGCTTTGTATGTGGTGATTACATGCCTTAGCCTCAGTTCTCACATGATTTCAGTGTATATAGCATAGTCACACTCTCACATATTCCTCTCTTTCATAGCTTTTGTGAGTTGTTCCTTATGTCTTGTTTGTGAGTCAATGCTTGAGCGTGATTTTATTACCTCATGAACTTCCTTCTTAGTATGTTTTGGCCTTTGTTTTGACATGATTGAGCTCTGTCCAGAGCTGGTTTGTCTATTTAGGCCATGTATTGCATGCCTCTTGTGTGATGCCTTAACTAGTTTTAAGTTTTAGGGCCTCTTGCATTCTATACTTGTGATGTTTGCATGATAC